CTTAAGATATAGGAGCACTAGCTAGTCGACCCAAAACAACGAAATGGTTAGCCCAGCCTCTGAGGATTCATGTAAAAAGGGATTCAGCTTTTGTAGACTGGGGCCAACAATTAAATTTTTCCGGATCTTTTCTATTTCTGATTGATGGGATTTTTTTCTTTCATCTGTAGAAGTTCTGGTGACGTATTAAATCAGAGGCTCGTCGCCCGCTTATCTTCCGGTTCCTTTAAAAACGATGGACCTGTAAACCAGATCGATTCTACAGTCTCCTTTTACGTCTCCACCTCTTTACACTATATCTGCCGGGTTCTGTTTGGTAGGTACATGTCGCCACGTTCTATCATCTGACCACTCTTGAATTTCAGCAACTCTATTCGATATGAACGTTAACATCGATAATGGATGAAACCGAATCCAATGAAGAGTAACTTCTAAATCCGACCACAATACACTTTGTCCGATCAGAACTTTTATTAGAGGCTTTATCTTGTGGCAGAGATCTGCGAGAAGGTGAGCGGTTCATAACTCAAGACGGGGAGTGTCTTTGTCTTGAGCGGCGCTACTTTGGACTTTGCCGTCAACAACGAAACTTTAATACCTTCTTCAGATTCGCAACGAATATAAAAACAGGCTCCATAGGCTCTTTTCGATGCGTCAGAAATGGCATGAATTTGAATAGGTGACATCGGCTCGGTAAACGCGAATCTCGGAATTGAGATGTCCTCTAGTTGCGACAAGGCAATCTGTATTTTGTTTCATGCTTTTTCCAAGTAAGTTGGAATAAACTCATCCCAATCTAGCTTATTTAACAACAATTTCTGCAATAGGGTTTTTCCTTTTATTAATATAGGGCTCAATAAAACAAGGGGTCAACCATCTTCGATGTCACCAAAAGAATGTTTTGTAACCATCTGTAACGGTGTTGAGCTTGCACAATTTTAAGGACTATGATGGGTCTTTTCTCCACACTATCAACTGGTATCGCCTTTCGGCTACATTTACCATTACTTAGCGATGCATCTTTTTTATGTCAGCTGTAGAGCGAATCTGTTTAGCCGGAACCGAAGAAGTAACCATCAATGTAGAAGTAACCATCAATAGATCGTTTAGGCACTTCTGTGTTGATGTCTTACAAGACACATCAAACACGACTTGTAATTTGGTCGAAGTGCTTTGAGGCCGTAAGACACACTGATGGGGTATGACGTAGTCAAGAACATCATTGCTTGTAAGGGTCATATGCCCTAAGGATTCGTATTCTTCCATCAATCTTAAATACATTTTCTTTAAATTCGGATCTCGAGATAATCTTCTCTTGAGCGACAAAAAAGGCGTTTGGCTACCTCGAACGAGTTTCCCAAAATGATTGGATCCGACTTAAATGGAACCTCAAGGCTGTATCATAGTAATTTTCTGATAACGTTCCTCACATAACTCTTGTTCAGATGACAAAAGCTTTTAAGAAGTTCGTACTTCTTTCAACGACCAGAATTTTTTCAAATTGCTATATATTGACTCGAATAATTTTACTTGGCAATTCAGGCTAAAGACAGGATATAAAGACTATCCATTCAAGGACAGTTTTTGGAGAATGGTATGGTTCGAGCCTTGATTTATTTGCCCAAGGGACAACAGTTCGAAAAATGACTCAGCTTCAATTAACATGTCTATTCGCTGAGGCTTATAAAAATATGGATCTGCTAAAGGCAAGTTCTTTGGTAGGTCCAAATCTTTCACTGGTCAGGGTGATAGCCCGAGATAGTTCTCAAAATCCAAAAAACGAACCGAAACTCACTACCATTAATTCTTGATTCACCACAGTGTGTATCTTTTTCTTAACCTCTAAAATAACTTGACCAATTCCAAAGCATGTGACGTGGAAGGACCACCAAGATTCAGCGCTGCAGAAGGATTTTCAGTTGGCGCTAAGTTATTTTTAGTCACAGTAAATCGGTGCAGAAATTGGACCTTTTCACAGACAATTTATACATAGTGAGGCTGACTTGACAAACTCAAACAATTGGATAACAGCGTGAGCGAACGGAACACACTGGGCAAGACTATTTTGCGTTACACTAACTGCAAGCTTATTTGTTGGAAGCGGAGCAAGCCAACGAACTTCTATTGTGGTGCTTGTCGAACCCAATTTTTTCCTGATTTGGCTTCCTAGGCTTTAATTTCTCGATAACAGGAAGGTTCACATCCTCGTCTACTAATGTCTCGAAGGAACTCATAAAATTTTCAAGCTCCGAATAGCTTCCACTGATTTTTGGCAATGCCAAACTAGGAAGTCGAGCTCGAGTTGGGGCTGCAGAAATTGCAGTAGCTGGTGGGAAATCTTTAACTACAGTGAAGGCATTTAAGAAAGACATCCCCCTTGCCCTTAACATAATTTAACATAAGAGGTATTTAGTGCGACCCATTAAATGTCGTAAGGATCAACGAACTTCTATTGTGGTACTCGTCGAACCCAATTTTTTCCTGATTTGGCTTCCTAGGCTTTAATTTCTCGATAACAGGAAGGTTCACATCCTCGTCTACTAATGTCTCGAAGGAACTCATAAAATTTTCAAGCTCCGAATAGCTTCCACTGATTTTTGGCAATGCCAGACTAGGAAGTCGAGCTCGAGTTGGGGCTGCAGAAATTGCAGTAGCTGGTGGGAAATCTTTAACTACAGTGAAGGCATTTAAGAAAGACATCCCCCTTGCCTTAGTCGTTACTTCGTTATGCTTCTAACTCGGCTTCAAATTCGTCTCTCAATCTAATTGCTAGATCTGGTCTTGCAACTAATTTGCCTTAAAAATTTTCTTATTTAAAACTTGAAGCCTGCACTTTAGCTCGGTCTTTAATAAAGGAACTGACCCAGCTTCAAACGTTCCTCTAATCGGCGAACTCTTTTTACTCTGACATTACATCTTCTTTTTATGTCATGAAGAGTAGGTGATTTTAATTTCGGTTTATTATTATCGATTTTCTGATTTAATTTATTTTTAATAAACAGACAACGATAAATTATATAATTTAATTTTTTTATTATACCCTTGCAGAGGGTACTATAATTTTGGTCAAGTGTGATGATGACGCAATGAAGAAGACATCTCCGACCCCATCTGTCTGTCCGTCTGTCTGTGAATAACCGGAAATCGGAAATGACCGATATATCCTATAGCTGCCATGTAACTGATCAATTAGAGGGTGTTAGAAATATTTCAAACACGGTTTTGTACTTTTTCGACCTAATAAACAATTCCTACTAATTCTCTTCAAACGTTCCAAATCACTGTCACACTGTGTTATTATTGTTACTTGAATTTGTTATCTAAATCTAGTATAAGTATAAGAATTCGCTTTTGTGCGAATTCGCCCCGCCTCGCCGCAATAGATATGTTAGGCTTGAGATTAGAGCAAACAAGAAAGGATAGCTAACTTCGTGAGGAGCCGATGCTAATATACCCCTGCAGTTAAAACATCATCACAAACATCGGATATAGTTGGCCGATCCTTATGAGAATATCATAATAAAACCAACTAATTACAGGCAAAAAATATAAAAAAAAGTCCCAAGCTTCTATACTCAAAAATACCAAATTTGGTATTTATACCAAAAACCATTTCCGATCGTTCAGTTATATGGCAGCTGTAAGATATAGTCCTATCGTGGAAAAATGGAGTTGACGTCCTTTGTCATAGATGGCTATCAAAAGGGATATCAAACAGATGTTATTTACATAGACTTTAGCAAAGCATTTGATTCAGTTAATTACTCACTCTTGTTGAATTACTTGTTGAATACGGACCTCTTAACGTGGATCTCCAGCTACTTAGATGGAAGGACACAAAGAGTCTTATTTAAAAACATACATTCCCGTCTGGTCCGTGCTACATCTGGCGTCCCTCAAGGAAGTCACCTTGGCCAGTTATTATTAACTCTCTTTATAAATGATTTGCCTCCTGCTTTAACGAACTCTCTAGTTCTTATGTATGCAGATGATGTACAACTTTGTCTTCAGTACAAATCCATCTCTGCCCTCTGCCATATAACTAGAGAGTTTAAATTTAACATAAGAGGTATTTAATGCGACCCATTAAATGTCGTAAGGATCGACCGACTATATCCTATAGCTGCCATAAAAATGAACATCGGAAACGACCCAACTTTCGTTATTCTGAATAAAGAAAGCTGGAACTTAGCACAGTCAGTTAATTCAACCTATCAAATTTCATAATGATCCGCCGAATATATCTTATAGCTGCCATATAACTGAACGATAGGAAATCGTATTTGGTAGAAATACCACCTTTGGTTTTGAAGATAGAAGTTTGGGACTTTGTTTTAGATATTTTATTGTAATTATTTGGTTTTATTATGATATTCTGATAAGCATCGGCCAACTATATACAATTTTTGTGATATATATCCGGTTTTAACTGCAAGGGTATATCAACTTCGGCTCCGCCCGAATTTAACTCTTTTTCTTGTTGTTATTTTATTATATTTAGCAGCCTCCATTATTTTTAATTTCTTATCGTTTTTTTGTGAAAGATAAAATAGTCCCGTCAAAACAGCTGACTGCGGAAAATTTATCTAGTTATTTCTGTAGCTTCCTTGAGAATTGAATAAGCCCGTAAAGTCCTTCGAAATACCAGTGTTAAAATATATAACGACTGAAAATACTATATAGGGGGACATGTCTTCTACTCTGCGTAGCTTTATATAGGGTTAAATTAATATTTTGAAGGGTTAAAAATAAACAAATCTTTTTCAATTTAAATCTTTTTCTTTTAAGCATTTTCTAGAAAATAAAATGAAAATTTAATGATCAAGTAACTTATTTCTCTTTTTGCAGTCAGGAACAAAATATAAATAAATTAACGAAGTAACTCCCTTTTTTATTGCAATTTATCTTATAAGAGTTCCAATAAGTTGTATAAAATAGAATATTCAAAAATTATGTCCTAATGTCATAGTAAAATATGTTATATTTTTATGTATACGTACTTTGAATGAAGTTTTCGGATTACATTCTAATAAGTTAGGCTGAATTTTAGATTCCACCGCTGGCATTTGCTCCAGTTGTTTTAATTTTATTTGGTTTTGTAAACTTAACTCCTGAGCTAATTGTTGTTGTTGTTGTATCTGGTGCGTCAACTCGTTCTGCTTATCAATTAATTTTTGTTCTTCTGCCTTTAGTTTGGCTAATTGCATTTGAGCTCTAATATTCACATCTATGTCGGATATAATATGTTTGATTTGCCTATTATAATCATCCTGTAAATAAAATATATTCACACTTTTATAAAAACAATTTTTAAACGAAATATAAAATATTTAAAACAAAAAATAAGAGGTAACTTCGGGAGGATCCGATGTTAAAAAACTCTTGCAGGCCAATAAAGTCGGCACCGGTAGCCCGGCATCGGTAGTACCTCGGTTGACTGTCCCTCGCTCTAATCCGTCACACGTTCCATCCAATCCTTACTTTCCCTTTGCTCACAGCTGTGGCTGCATTCTTGCTAAGCAGTCCGATGGTAACGGTCTGCGTGTCCCTAGATCTCGCGCTCATGCTACTGATAAGGACTGATTTCCGCAAACGTCAAGCTGCTCGGCCATAGCTATCCGACTGTCCTCTTCCGTCACCAGAGAATCGAGGTCTCTTATCTTCAAGTACTTCGTCTGGATGTCCCAAGGCTCTCGAAGTTCTCCCCTTATAGCGTCCGTGTCCAGCTCAAGCAGAAGGACCAGGTGGCGGTGCGGCGCACCTGGTGCACATTTTGGCTAAATTCCCTTAAATGTCCGTGCTGCCGACTGGTGACGAAGGCAAGAACTTCGCTATACTTCATCCCCCTGGCTTCCACGACTAGCGCGTCAAGGCGGATGTTCGTCTTTTGTTTCTTTCGGGTAGAAGTTTCCCATCCCATCTGGCAACCACTTCGGTGGAAATCCACCTGGGGCATGGATTCTGGAGTCCCCAAAACACACTTACCAAAGACAAGCTACTTTTACCGCCCCGCCAGATATTACGACACGCCAACAAAATGCGGAGCAACGCGTGAAAACATTGCCACCAAAAGAGAAGGAAAAAGGTTACCCCTGTACCCCCCGGCCCTACGACGTTTGATGGGGACTCCGGATCAATCCGGGAAAACTCGGTAAGCTTTTAATTTCAACGTTCGCATTAGAAGTGATTAAGCAGTTGCGCCTAGGCTGGGACTGACAACAATATGCTTCAAATAATTTTGCACAAAAATAAAGTTTTTTTTAAATTTTAATTTAAAAAAATTCTTGAATATAAAATTTTATCTTAAGACTGTGGGATAAAACGATTAATAAAAGTAAACATTACTTAATTCATAAAACATCTTCTTCTGCTGGGAATCGAACCCACGCACTGTGGGGAATTTGACCAGTTTTTGTGACATAAATGAATAACTCAATATGAGAGCAAGATATATATATTTTTTTGTATTTGTTTTTGTATATATTTTTTTGATATATACTATTTATATTTATTTATTTATTTACAATCTGTCTATTAAAAAACAATAAGTACATTTTATAAAGAATGTTAAGTTAACAGAAATAGCAGTTTTCCAATGAGCCCTACTTTTATATATTACATATTTACAGTATTTTGAATTTATCTATCGGGAAGATCGAGAATATGGTATCTTTTCAGTCTTCTTACTGTTAAGCTATTGTCCACTAGATTTAAGGCTAAATTATTTTCGTGATTGTGGAGTCTGTCGATGTATTTCTTACTAATTTTATTTATTTTTCCTTTTATGGTTGGGATGTTGAGATCTTTATGAATGTTCGCATTAGTTATGTAGAATGGAGCATTGACAATTTGTTGAAGAATTTCAATATTCAAGTTGCTAGCAGTTCCCCAGAGCTGTATCGCAAAGGTCCAGACGGGCTTTAGTATGACTTTGTAGAGGCTTTCCAGAGTGGTTTGTGATTTTCGTCTTAACAACCAGGACATTTTTAGTGTTTTAAGTCTGAGCTGTTGACATTTTGCTTTGATATGATTTTTCCATGTTAATCTGCGGTCGAGATGCATCCCGAGATAATTTACACATGTAGTTTGTGGAATTGGTGAGCCGTTAAGTGCAACATTTGGGCAGCTTCCTGGTCTTAATGAAAAAGTGATTTGGACTGATTTCAGGGAGTTGATTCTTATTTTCCATCGAAGAAACCAGTCTTCAATTAGACTTAGCTCACGCTGCAGGAGTTCGGATGCTTCATTTTTGGATATGCTTGTGGCCAAAATGGCTGTATCATCAGCATATTTTGTAACAGTGCATGTGTTTGTACCTGGCATGTCAGCCTGGCATGTACAACAGTACATCAAGAAATGCAGCAGTGCAGTATTTTTTTTGTTTTTGAATGCGGATACTATTTCATTAATGACTCTGTGACATTGCTCTGGTGTCCCGTGACCTCTCCTGAATCCAAATTGATATTCGGGAATGATGGAAAGTTTGTCCAGAATTGGCCACATTCTCTTCAATAGTATTTTTTCAAATACTTTCGAGAATATTGTTAGCAGACTAATGGGACGGTATGATGTCACTTCTGTTTCTGTTTTGAGTGGCTTTAGGATCATAATGATCTCTGCGCATTTCCATTGACTTGGGAAATGTTCTAGTCTGAGAATTGCGTTAAATATGAGAGTGAGAAATCTCATATTTGTTAATATGAGAGTGAGTAAAGTTTTAAGGGGGTTATGCCGTCTATTTTGTCAGGGCCTGGTGCTTTTTTGTTGTTCAAGCATTTTATTTCTGTCACGACTTCTTCATAAACTCATAAACTTCATAAAATGAATAGCTCAAGATCGGAGCAAGATATTTGACTTATGTTTTTTGCATGGGGCTATATTGACCGATATCTTTTACCAATAGAAAAATAGAGGGCGTGGCACCGCCCTATTATTTTTGAGTACTTTTTTTAGAGTACTTATTAACTAGTTCTGAGACAATATTTTGTTGTATTTCAAAGAAAATAGTGGACGTGGCACGCCTTTAACAATGTATTACAGGTTTAAGGGGACCCCCCCCATTCTCGTTTTCAAAAAATCGGTTTATTTTTTTATTTTGTTCGAACTATTAATTATTCAAGAATGTTCCCTGAAAATTTCAAGTGAAAATCTCAAAAAGTCTTGAAGATATAGCCGATTTATGGTGGTAGCCTCAGGCGACGGCGAGAGCCGTCTCAAAACTTTAAACGCGCTTTTCTCGAAACAGTGTTTTTACAACTGAGGTTACTCAAAAACTATTAATCCAATCGGTTCCAATTTCCAATGTCTTTCAATTTCCAATCCAATTTTAACACGTTATTCTATACATATATAGCTCTGGTATGAACTAGTATAAATCAAATCGGTGAAGATCTTCTTTACCTTTTAGCTTGATTTGTGGCTAAAAAAAACTCAATTTTTAAAAAATAATTTTCAAAGGTCCGCCATTTTGTTCATTTTTGAGCAAAGTTAATAATTACACAGCCACACAAAAAAAAAAAAGTGTCCGGGTTGGGAGATCAGAGTACCCTATCCCCATGTACTTTGGACCGCTGAACACGAATCTGAAGTCCGTTTTGGTCCTGCACGTGTACGTTTCTTCCTAACCTCAAAAAAAGTTTTACATTTTTGGAGGTATGCGACTTTATTTTTAATTTATTGGATTTTCATGAAACTGGGTACCCAGGGATTTTTGGGGTCGCTGATTACGAACTTGAAGTCAGATTTTCAAAATTCAACTTCAGATTCGTGTTCAGCGGTCCAAAATACATGGGGATAGGGTACTCTGATCTCCCAACCCGGACACTTTTTTTTTTTTTGTGTGGCTGTGTTATAGTTCATACGAGAGCCAAACATGTACTCTTTCCAATCCCGTTGGAAGAAAGCCCTTCTTTTTGGCGGCGAATGTGATTTCCGCTCACTGGAACATCTGAAACCAAAAATTCCAACGGGATTTTGCAAAAAATTTTGATTGCTAAAAACAACAACAACAAAATAAAATAAAAAAATTTTGAAAAATGGTTTTCTTTCTTTTTATGTGTTAATATATGTATGCACAGTTACAACCCTAAAAAGTAATTCATGTTCATTTGCCAGCCCATTGAAAATCGTCAAAATTTAAAATCGAGAATGGGGGGGGGGGTCCCCTTAAGAAGAAAATCCATCTAAAGCATCGCGTGCCCCTGTAATGACAGACAATTAATAATGTTCAGAAGACAAAAGTGAAGCTCTTCAATCTCCAAATCAATATTATATTGATGTTCAAAATGCACAACGTCAAAAGAGCTTTCATCACCCGCCGTAGTGTCATCGAGATTTGATGAGCCCTCTAATAGGTCCAAAACCTCTAATGGAAGGAACATTTTTTTCGGTCGCTGTATTCTTTTATCTAAATTGACTAGCGAAATGATCGGATCAGAAGTACCTGTAGCTCACAGAAATACAAGTGTGGAGGCACTGCAGCGTGCTTCCTGCGAGATATATTGCCCTTCTCATGAAAAGGCAGTGTTGTCCAACGGCTTCTTGGTTTTCGGAAAACTTATAAGAGTTTTTGAATTCAGCCAAACTGCATGATTCCGGCGCTACTGACTTAAGATAGAAGAGCACCTCTCCCACATTTGCGTCATGCGATAGCAAAATTTTTTACTCGCTTGGTCTACACGATATCGCTGTATTCTTCAAAATTCACTCCTGAGATGAAATCTTTAATAAAATGAAAGACAGCATTCTCCTTAGCGACTTTTCCCTTTGCTTTGAAACACTTTGCCAAATTAAGGTTATGTCTACAAATGACGATCACATACAAATAATACAAGCCACAAAGATTGGAATTCATTTCAAAAAATGTTGTAATATTGTTTAGCTTTTTACTTCTGCCCGCGCAAACTTTGTAAACAAAACTTAATACTTCAGTCGCCTGTGCTTTGCAATTGCAACAGCTGTGTTTGTTAGCTGATTCCTTTGTTGTGGCGCCCTCTATCAAAATTTCTGTTATGCACCACAGAAGATTGGTTAATTTGGAATGCGATTTACTGAAACTTATTCTAATTTTCTGACTTTCAGAAAATGGGCTTTTGTCACAAAAACTAGTCACATTCCCCATAGTGCCACGACCTTCTGATTAAGAGGTAGACAACTCACCCATTAAACCTTGTCTTGTATTTGATCAATATTTGTATTTGATACAAATCAAACTGTCTAACTTGAGCGTTCATAAAACAGAAAGTTATTAGAGCTTTATATAATCCATTTTATATTTCACTCTACCGAATTCAGTTTACTCAGGATTCAAAGAAGTTTTCTAACTTTGTAAACACTTGAAACATATTGAATATGAATTGATATTCATGATGAACATATTGATATATGTGAAAACATATTCACCTTCCACAATTTCGGCTGAGCCAGGATTACAATATCCATGAAGCCAAATGTGCCCTTTTTTAAGTGGTTTGATATCGGATCTTCTTAAAGTTAAATCCTTTTGTTCATCTGGCCACGCTGAGGCCCTGTGCAAACCTCGCCTTAAACATATCAACCTTTTCTGGAAACTTCGATATTTCCGTTCATAAGGAAGGAATCTTACATCATTTTTCTGCACAAAAATAAGACGCTGCTTATTATAGAGGCATTTCTAAATTATCACCCATATTAAAGCATTTTGAAAATTTAATTACATATTTGCAACACTTTGGTAGCTCAATAAGTTCTTTTTGCCTAAATGGTTTTATAAAGAGCCGCTCTACTATGTCCAACTTAATGAAGCTGGTTTCTTTTTCGTAGGGGCGCTCGAATCCATGAATAGATTGCGGAGGGGCGCTCGAGAAACGATTTATTCATATTTATTAAGCTATTTGTTAAGCTAAGAGCAGTCAGTAAGGAAATTTAATATACAAGATTTTAAATTTAAAGGGCAGGAAGGGTATGTTATAGAGAAGTGACCACTGTAGCTTAAGCATAATACCCTAAAAGGGTTGTGCTGTGCATACATATGTCGAACTACAATGGCTTAGGAACAGAGGACTGAAGTTTGTAGTCTTTCTATTAGAAATGATAAAATTTAGGCTTGTTAATAAATGCTGGTTATCTACATCCCCAATAATTAGGTATGTAGAAAAACGTTATGTTGGTTATGTATACTACACCAAGCATTATCCAACGATTTAATAAGCTAGGTAAGTTTATTAGTAGGAGTTTGATACTATAAGATGGAAGATTTGCATCCCAGTTAAGGCATCATAGTGAAAAAGGTTTAAAAGTTTTCAAGATCGGACTGAAGACAGCACTGAGCAGAGATGGATTTGTATTGAAGACAAAACTTTTCATCATCTGCATACATAAGAACTAGAGAGTTGGTTAAAACAGGGAAAAGTCAATAATAAAAAGAGTAAATAATAACGGGCCAAGATGACTTCCTTGAGGGAAGCCAGATGTAGCACGGACCAAGGGAATTATATTTTTAAATAAGACTCTTTGTGTTCTTTTATCTACCATAAGTAGCTGGAGATCCACGTAAGGAGGTCTTTAGGAAATTGCAGCATGTTCAGTTTACTCAACAAGAGTGAGTTATTAACTCAATCAAATGCTTCGCTAAAGTCTGTGTAGATAAAATCAGCTAAATATCCCTTTCGAAAGCCATCAAGGACAACGGTGGTCAACTCCAGTAAATTAGTGGTGGTGGAGCGACGCTTAATGAAGCCATTCTGACATGGAGAAATGATCGAAGAGCAAAATTGTTGCAAATAAGGAGTATTTAATTTTTCAAATAACTTTGGAATTTCCAACAATTTAAAGATGTCTCTGTAGTTGGCAGCATCGGACTTTTTCTCTTTTTTATGAAGGGGAATTATGAAAGATTCCTTCCACTTAAAAATCGAGGTTTCCAAAAATAAGTTGAAAAGTCTAAGAAGAGGTTTGCACAGAGCCCTGGCACAGTATTTTAGCACACAGCCTAGTACTCCATCGGGGCTACAAGTTAGAAGATCAAGCTACAAGCTATTCTCAGAGAAAAACGGGCAGAAAATAAGATTTGCTGATTGAATGTTATACTATATTGTTATACCATGTTATACTTGTACTATTTTCGACTTAATAAACAATTCCTACTAGGTCTCTTCAAAAGTTCCAAATCACTGTCGCACTATGTTATGTATCTGGGAACACTTTGCCAAATTGTTCATGAAAGTCGACTATGCCAGGAAAGTCACATCGGGGTCAGCAAAGTTGAGTTACCAAATGTTTTCGGTACCGGCAGTTTTTCCAGTACCCAATAAATAATCAACGCGTTTAATTTAATGCCCTTTATTGTGGTTATGAAGACAGCGGAGCGGGGGTCCGTGAAGGACAATGAATACGGCAATAAAGGTCCGGACATATAAGTCTGGATCGCTAAGTGTTAAGAGGAGCCCCAAATAAAGGTCTTATTCCAATGAATTCCAATGACCCTTTCTCAAGTGCGATAATCGCACCACTTATGTATGTATTTGTGTTAGGCTGCAGGGGATCGGTTTTAGCCCATGCTGTTTGTCTCGTGTTTCATGGGTCCGATCCCTTGACACTCTATCTTAAGAATTTGTATATACAATCGTGTTCAATGCTTGAACAATAAGAGATGAGCAACCCGAGCATAGATGCACAATCGACCGATAACGCTGCCGCTATAACTAAATGTATGCAATAATAAGACAGATTATCAAAATAAATAAAGTATTAAAACTACACAATTTGCGCTGCTCACACAAAACTAAGACCATAATTTAAAATATTTAAATACAATAAATCTATAGTCTTTAGTTAATTCATTATGCTTAAATATAGACATATCGCCTTAGTTTATCGCACATTTATTAACTGCTTAGCACCATAAACTGATCTATCATAATTTGATCATCCAGTTTCATATGCCTGCAGAATAATTAACTTATAACGTGAAATTTTTTTTAAGTGACTATTATTTTGGAGCGGATTGTCATTGAAAAACTTTAAACAACTGTTGGCGACTTGATCCCACCTACCAAATTTCATAGAGATCAGACGACTATATCTAATAGGTGTAATATAACTGAACGACTGTCCACTTAAATACATTAACAAGTTAGACTTTCATTTGTGATAGAATACGTCGAATTCTCACGCATCTGTCAATAAATGTATTACAACATACAACATACCTTTTCTGCTTCTGAAACAATTCTATTTTTCTCTTTAATTTCTCCGTCGTTTGATAGTAAATTTTGTTCATCATTGATCCTTTCATTGTGTTCCTATAAAAAATATAATAAAATGGAAAATTAGTTATTAAAAAAATACTTTTTAATGAAACATATACACACATTGTAAAAGCTTCAGCAGTGAATGCATCTAATCCTTTTTTTTTAAATACTGTTTTTATACCCGGTTCTCGTAACGTAAGAGAAATTATATAACGTAAATTATATATTATATTCCAGTAAATGTATGTTACATAGAGATTGAATCATCTCCAACCATAAAGTATTTATATTCTTGATCGGCATCAACAGCTGAGTCGATATAGCCATGTCCATCTGTCCGTCCGTCCGTCCGTTTGTCCGTATGAATACGAGGATCTCAGAGACTATAAGAGATAGAGCTATAGGATTTGGCATTTGGTTTAATAATTTTGTTACGTCCCCTCCCGCTCCAACAAATTGTAAAATTTTTTACCGCCAGTACCGGAAGGTTTTTTAAAAAACTTTTGATGCCAAACTATTTTTATGGCTAATATATATTAAAATTTTATCCAAATCCGTCGATTTTTAGAGGAGATATACTAATATATAAACAATTTCCCATATTAACGTGTTAAAAATTTAAACGCGAAAATTTAAGAAATAGAACTATCTGAGTTGGACCATATAGTCGCTATAGCACAGTGGTCCGGCTTGTATGAAGAGAGCGGCCAAAAATACTTCTAGTTGAGGTAGGGACTGGAAACTTGGCACAAAATATTTATATTTTTATTCTAAAATAATATGTTAAAATCAGCCAGATCGGGCAACTATATCATATAGCTGCCATATAACTGATTGATCGAAAATGCTATAACTCCTCTAAACTGTGTTTTTACAGTTAGAGAGTTCAGTTTTTGTACGAGTGCTATATTTGACAAAATAATACGACCTACCAAATTTCATAAGGATTAGCCGACTATATCTTATAGGGGCCATATAAATGTTTGATCGGAAATGACCCAACTTTTGTGATTTAGATAGATAGTTGAAACTTCGTACAGATTCTATTTTTGGTCAGTTGATCCAACCTACCAAATTTCATAAGGATCGGCCGACTATATCTTATAGCTGTCATATAACTGAATGATCGGAAATGGTTTTGGTAGAAATACCAACTTCGGTGTTCTTGAAGATAGAAGTTTGGGACTTTTTTTTGATTTTGTATTGTAATAGATTAGTTATATTATGATATTTTCATAAGGATCGGCGAACTATATCTGATTCTTGCGATATATATCGGCTTTTTTCAAATTGAGGTTAGGTTACTTTTTTGTATTTTTCTAGCCGCACGGCACCTTACGGCACTTGAACTAAACTTTCTTATATTCTTAAAATGCTTAAGAATATTATACAAAAAGATTTGTGAATGCCAAAGAGTGCCATCACAACTAAAACTCTAACCAAACACAGAAAAGCCAAACTAAGAACGTTCACAATTATGTACTAAATACAACAATGATTTACACAAAACACAACAAATACTACATATACTTTTTATGGTGAAAAGAAAGTTAATACCTTTCTTTAAAATATTAATAACTTCCATGGCACAAACACTTGTTTTAAAAATGTTTAATAAGCTTTTTGCGGAGAGCTTCACTTGCACGTTGCTTACGCTGCAATACACAATGAATATCATGCTATTACTTTTGATGCTATTCTTGAAGCGGACAGACAGATTAAAACAAAAATATGAATAAATTCATATAGCTAGACCAATTGTAAATAAGAATTGGTACATTTAAATCAAAATTTGGACTTTGGATTTTTTAATTTTGGCCTACGGGCTGGACCACTGTGTATAGTGACCATAGGCCATCGCTATAGTAATAGACTTTTTTTTCTGATTCTCTACCGAATCGGTCGTATTGTCGTACGTTTGTTGTTTTGCCCAAGCGCAAAAGTATGCAACATAAATTTATTCCAGAGAATCCAAACCGTTAATGTTTAAACTTTAAAAGTAAGTTAAATTGTGGGTGGAAGAGATGAGTACCGGGTCCAATATAGTCGGGAAACTGGATTTGTTTAAGGACTTTAGCCTATAGTCGTCCTTTGTTGTTTAAGATAAAAACTTGGGACTTGTTTTAAATTTTGTATTTTGGGAAATGGATTTTATAATAAAAAATATTTCGTCCTCATTTCGGTAGAATCCACTCTTGCTTCTGAGGTGAAATCACAAGAGTTTGGTGACATAGAATTTATTTGCATTAAAATCATTTTGTTCGAGAAATCTTTATACATGACATGTTCGTATATACCGCTTTTGTCTGAACCACCCAAATATTGGCAGCCGCTATTCAATCCGTTTTCAATCTTACGACTGATCGTGACCAGCTCGTCGCTTTGGGTGACTTTAATATACCAGAATTAAAGTGGTCCAACGTCAAGCACTCACCATCTTTGTCACATATCACTCTTCATGACTTCACCGCGGGCATGTTTGACATGTCCCTAGCTCAGATTAAACATGTTAGAAATTCGTTAGATTGGCTTTCAGACTTATGTTTTGTATCTGATCCTGATGGTACCGCTCTCTCCAGAGCTTTTCCCCTCTCAACCCCAGAGGATCCATATCACCCCACGCTGGAGGTCTCAATCGAAACCACTCCTGGTATCGACCAGATGTCTCCGAGCGTGGTAAATAAGATTCGCTGTTTCCGTAAAGCTGATTTTCAGAAACTTAATAGCCTTATTGATACATTTGACTGGTCTGATATTCTGGCGTGCACTGATCTTAATGTCACTTTAGAAAAATTTTATTTTACTTTAAATACATTTTTTGACTCATGTGTGCCTTGGAAACATCCGTCCGCTTCAACAAATCCTCCTTGGTATACAAGGTGCCTCACTTACCTAAAAAATACTAGAAAATAAGCTTTTACTTAAATATAAAAAAAACCTGCAGTAGTATTGATTTTTCAAGATATCTGCTAGCTTGGTCAAATTTTACCGTGCATAACGCTGAATGTTAAAGGAATTATATTCGCCGCTGCCGCATACAATTTACTCAGGATCCAAATCAGTTTTATAATTTTGTAAACACTGACCTCTGATAAGGCCATTGCCGATCTATTCGCAGAATTTTTTCTAAAAACTTATTCTCCGCCTAAATTGACAGATTAGCCTTACGCATATAACATTCAAGCAGCAAATCTTATTTTCTGAGAACATCTTATCTGGTCTTTTAAGGGTAAAATCCATTTATTCGCCAGGCCCCGAAGGAGTACCAGGCTGTGTGCTAAAATACTGTGCAAACCTCTTCTTAGACTTTTTAACTTATCTTCGGAAACCTCGATTTTTCCCCTTAAGTGGAAGGAATCATTCATAATTCCCCTACATAAAAAAGGGGAAAAGTCCGATGCTGCCAACTACAGAGGCATCTTTAAGTTGACGGCAATTCCAAAGTTATTCGAAAAATTAATTACCCCACATTTGCAACACCTTTGCTCTTCGATTATTTCTCCCTTAATATGGCTTTATTAAGCGTCGCTCCACCAACACAAATTTATTGGAGTTGACATCCTATGTCATAGTTGGCTTTTGTAAGGGGTATCAAGCCGATGTAATTTACACAGACTTCAGCAAAGCATTTGATTCAGTTGATTAACTGAATCTAAGTGATTACTCACTCTTGTTGAGTAAACTGAATATGCTGGGTTTTCCTATAAACCTCTTAAAGTGGATCTCCAGCTACTTAGATGGAAGGACACAAAGAGTCTCATTTAAGAACATAGAGTCCCGTCTGGTCCGTGCTACATCTGGCGTCCCTCAAGGTAGTCATTTTGGCCAGTTATTATTTAAGCTTTTTATAAACGACTTGCCCCCTGCTTCAACGATACTACTAATAACTAAATGGATCAAAATGCAAGCATATGTCATTTTATCGTTCTTGCCCTCTGCAAGCTACGTATTCTATTAGTGGGATTGCCTTAGAGAAATTAACTCAGGTTAATGATCTCGGCGTCCTATTAGACATTAAACTTAAATTTTCCGACCATATTTCCTTAATGGATAATTAGGCTAAAGGAGTCCTTGGTTTTATTAAAAGGTGGTCAAAAGAATTTAATGACCCATACATAACCAAAACATTATGTATTTCTTTGGTCCGTCCTATACTGGATCCTATACTGGATTCATGAACCGTAATGTGTCTGGAGTTCCTAATATGGAGTACATAAGGACCTCATAGAATCCGTCAAAAGAATTTTTTAATATTCGCGCTTAGAGGTCTATACTGGGATGCAAATCTTCAGCTTCCATCCTACAGTAGCAGACTTTTATTTATAAGCTTACCTAGCCTAACAAATCGTGGGATAAGGCTCGATGTAGTCTTTCTGCATAACCTTATTAACGGGGATGTAGATAGCCAGCATTTACTTACACGCTTCAAATTTAACATTTCTAATAGAAGGACTCGAAACTTTATTCCTCTGTTCCTTAGCCCTTTTAGCCCTTAGCCCCCCTAAAACATGACCCTTTTAGGGGGTTATGTTCGAACTACTATGGTCTTTACTCTATAACATCTTTTTCCTGTCCCTCTAATTTAAAATATAGAATTTTCCTTTTTTTTACTAACTCCTCCTAGCTTAACAAATTACAAATAGCTTAATACGTACTAACAAATCATTTTTCGAGCGCCCCTCGGTCGTATGGGCCTCTAAGCTTTATGATGAATACAGGAATGCTAGCTGATGCTCTTATTGATGCACAAGCCGTTTCAAAATTCTGAAAGACCGCGAAAAAAAAAAAATGTGATTACATGGTTAGCGATTGAAGTCACTCCACATACACTACTGCCGTTTCTGCCCTGACGAAAATGCACCTGAATCTGTTAAGCACCGTTTTACAGCTCTACTGTCTCGCGGATTATTTATTCTAGAAGAGAGATTATTATTCACCACCTAGGAGGTGTAAGAATTGGATACAGAAATTTCCCCAACCCTCGGTAAAAAGAAACTGCCAAAACGAAATCTCCAAACGAAAAAAACGGAATTTTGTGGAAAACAGCTGGA